AGGAGAATGGCGCTGCGAGGAATCGCCAGGGGATCTAGCCAATGCTCAAGGAATAGGTCAGACGGATATGCAATCAGACAGTTACTGGTGCCATCAGAATTGAACTCTTCATTTGCTGCTGAGGATAGGGACGGAGCCCTTATGGGAGCGTCCGGGGTGCTATTATGTCGATCCCAAATTCTACATTCAACATACATTTCAAAGTTATGTACACACTCAAACAAACTGTATGGTGTTAATACCCGGACAGTCTATTCTATTCTTTTTTCTCCTTCACCGGCTGTAAACTTAAGCTGAAAGTTTTGGTTGTTCATCCCCTTCTGGACTTTTGCCTTCTTCCAGAACTTAAGTTTTGCGTGCCAATCCGTTTTACAAATCTAGCTTCTTTGTATACAGACTGATGTTTACTCACCTTTCAGGCAGATGAACGACTTTGAAAAAACCAAGCCTAATTAGTAGCTTTTTACGACATGCTTGTTGAGAACAGTTGGTCTATTCTTTCCAGTAGTCCCCCCCCCCCCCCAGGACCCCCGAAGTGAGACAGGAAACTTGGACAATGAACAAGCAGTTTAAAAAAAGAAATGTGGCTCTAAAGATAGGCGTGTACGGAACGGAAAAATAGGTCGTTTGTTGTGTTGGGGGGGGGGGGGGGGGGCACACATCTATATACAGAAGTTGTGAAAGAACTTGGAATGACAAGAGAGATGCTGGAGGAAATTCAAACAGTCAACTCAAATATTTCATCCACAAAAACTATCATAATCAATTAGGAAGTCCTTTGCAGAACGTCGCTCTCCTCACGGCAAGTCTGAAAGTGTTTCATTCTCTTGCGAACAATCCAGCAGTATGTGCTTTCACAGACGGTGCATCTTCAGCGTCTTGGACCCACCTCCGCGAAGGTCGACCTCTCCCTCGTTTTTCGTAAACCACATTTTTAATCACCGTTTTCTCTAGGCCACGATAGCGTTTAACCTGAACAAGATAGCCAAACGGTCAGGACAGTATGCCGTTTATGAGCCACTTCTCCTTGATTTTCAGATCATTAAAAACTATACTGGATCGACCAGTTGAAGATAATTTAGCAAAAAAGCAGACAACGATGAAGTGACACTGTCAAGAGATGGACGAACAGCAGTCTGACAGAATTCAGGATGAAAGGCAAAACGTGTCGGAGAACCACTGCTACGAACCTCCACTGTGGAGACGGCACGTGATTGGTTGATTAATGATTAGATGGGAATTCGATGAAATATTTCCCACCATTTGCCAGGGACAAGCTGTCATCCTAGTCGACAATTATTGCAAGGTTGTAAATGTGATTGATTTTTTTTTCCTTGTCCTTTTTTCGCGTGTCCCAGCATTGTTATTATGGGACACTGATGGCTTGTAATGAGTACTTCGAGTACTGTCTCACGGTTAGGACGGTTTGACATTCTGGTGTTGTTGTTGTTGTTGTTGTTGTTCGTCCATCACAGCTGGTGGTGACCACTTCTTTTATCCAGTGGTGACTGGATTAAGTTTTGGGAGTGTATAGATGGCTGACAAGATCAATTCTAGCACTGAAAGTTCTTGAGCAATGTGGACAAGGAATAGAAGCAGCATCTCTCAATTGATTTGCTTCAGTGTCTTTCAGTGAGGTCTTGATGTTGTCCTTAAAACGTTTCTTCTGTCCACCTTGAAAGCGATTCCTTTTTTTCAAGCTCCCTATAGATAATTCTTTTTCGGCAGTCGGTGGTAGAAAATTTTGTAGTATCCTTGTGTACATGGATTATCATGAAGAGTGTATAAGCTTCGTAAATGAGTTGCTCGTCGGATGTCTCACTCACTCACTCACTCACTCACTCACTCACTCACTCACTCACTCACTCACTCACTCACTCACTCACTCACTCACTCACTCACTCAGTCGCTCTCTTTCTATCTCACTCACTCACTTTCTCACTCACTTACTCACACTCACTCTCTCTCACTCACTATATGTCTCACAGTTACTCATTAACTCAATCACTCACTCTCTCTCACTCACTCACTCTCTCTCACTCACTCACTCACTCACTCACTCACTCACTCACTCACTCCCTCACTCACTCACTGAGTCGCCCTCTTTCTATCTCACACAGTCACTCACTCACTCACTTTCTTACTCACATACTCACTTACTCACACTCACTCTCTCTCTCACTCACTCACTTATTTACTCACTTACTCCCTCCCTCACTAGCTCACTCACTCCCTCTCACCCGTCTCTGTCTCTAGTTATATGTAAGTATGTATATCGTGTGTCTTGGTTTGTGTCTGCGGCAATTTCTCATTGTGGTCCGCAAGGACTCCGACACAAAGAAAACAAAGTGGGTCCTCGCGAGATGGGGAGAGGTTTCAGTCCAATTACCAACAAAGCATTAGCCCAAAGTGCCCCGCTCCCGCCCGCTGAAACAATAAAAGAGGGCACCCCCCCCCCTTCCCCCACCTGCGGCAATGATTCTTTATGACGGCGAGCCTGAGACCACATGGGGAAAAAAGAGGAGGGAGAGGAGGTGACTAGTTTTCTCAATATGTGTTTGTATGTTTGTGTATAAATGTGTATGTATGTATATGTGTGTGTGTGTGTGTGTGTGTGTGTGTGTGTATGTATGTGTATGTATAAAGTAAAAATGTGCATAGATATGTGTGTATGTATAAAAGTATATGCATTTGTGTGTGTATGTATGTATAAATGTATATATATATTATAATGCATGTTTTGTGTGCTGCATGTATGTATATATGCATTTATATATATTTATATATATATATATGTATGTGTATTTATATATATATATATATATATATGCATAACAATGTTTGTATGCTGCATACATGTATATATGCATTTAAATATTTATGTGTACATATGTGTGTGTATTTGTAAGTATATATATATATATATATATGTATATATATATATATATATATATATATATATATATGTGTGTGTGTGTGTGGGTGTGTGTGTAATCTGTATATATATATATATATATATATGTGTGTGTGTGTGTGTATATGTATAAATATATATATGTATGTATAAATATATATATCTGTAGGTATATATATATATATATATATATATATATATATATATATATATATATATATATATATATATATATATATATATATATATATATGATGTATAAATTTATATATGTATATACAAGTCTGTCTGCTAACTCAATTCCTGGTCTGCCGTAGTGAGCCGGGATCCACTGAAGTCAAGGCGACTCAGAGGGATCCACGAGACAACATGGAAAGAGAACTGACCCGCCAGCCGAACAGAGAGAAAACAGTCAATTCGTTTTCCAGTGGATCCCCGCTCACTGCGCCATAACAGGAAATGAGTTAGCAGACAGCCTTGCAAAAAATTGAACAAAGGAGAAACTACACACCCGTTCACTGTCATTACCAGAAATCAAAACGCTCATCAAAGGAAAATGCAAGGAATTGTGGAGATAACAAACTTACAGATAAACATCCAAAAGACCCCACCAGCAGACTGAACAGAAAGCAACATACAACTATTTTCCGTCTACGAACAGGACACTGCAGGCACAACTACCACATGCATAAAATAAAGATTGTACAGTCCTGAAAGTGTGCCAGTTATACAGGACCACAAACACCTAAGCACATTCTGCAGACCTGCCCACTCTACTTACAACTTCGAAAAGACACCTGGTCTCAAGAGCAAAGTGTGCAGAGCAAGATATAGGGGAACCATGAAGGACCTGCTACTGACATGTAGTTCATAGAGACAACCCGCCTGATGGTCGGATCTGAGTATAACGAAACCGAACGCAAAGAAGACGAAGAAGAATTCTGCTTTATCCATTTCCTTTTGGATACCTGTATCATTCATGCTCGATGTGCACACATCTTCATTATACATCGGTCAATCCCGAATGAAAAAGCATTATCAGCATCAGAGATGATTCTATACACCCACTGAAAGCACTCGAGTATTACCTTGACACTGTTTTTTTTTTTTTTAAAATTATTTTTAATTAATGCACACCACACAGCGTAAACACTCGACATTGTCGAAGTGCAAAGATCGAAATGTTCTGTGTTTATTTGAAACACAAGATCCCAGGGAATGTTTTGAGTCCCTAGACCGGGTGTCAATAATGGACAAAGACAACTAGCTTGTTAGAGAAGACAAACACTGCGCATGTGAAAACCATTTGTTTGCTAAATGCAGAAATGATATTTAGTTACACTAATTTTCCCTGTGTTCATTGAGCTACTGTTTTAGTTTTTGCCTAATTGTTGCGTTCACTATTGTTCTGTTCTCATTGTTTTGACTGAATGTATGTCTTTTTTATTTGTCTTCTTCTCTTCTTCTTCTTCTTCTTCTTCTTCTTCTTCTTCTTCTTCTTCTTCTTCTTCTTCTTCTTCTTCTTCTTCTTTTCTTCTTCTTCTCTTCTTCTTCTTCTTCTTCTTCTTCTTCTTCTTCTTCTTCTTCTTCTTCTTCTTCTTCTTCTTCTTCTTCTTCTTCTTCTTCTTCTTCTTCTTCTTCTTCTTCTTCTTCTTCTTCCTTCTTCTTCTTTTTTTTCTTATCCTTCTTCTTCTTCTTCTTCCTTCTTCTTCTTTTCTTTTTCTTCTTCTCCTCCTCCTTCTCCTCCTCGTTCACCTACTCCTTCTCTTTTTTCTTTTTTTTTTAGATGATGTCTAGAACCTATTAGGTCGATCATGATTTTACAGTCCTTCCCATCATCAAATATTGTGATAAACACTGGGGTTTTTTTTTTTCTCCATGACATTTTTTATATTATTTTGTTTTACTGATCACCCTTTTCTATTTCTTCTCAACATTGCTTACTGTTTCTAGCTGAGACAACATCTAATTATCCACGTGAACACACACAAAAGACACACACATGCACACACACACACACACACACACACACACACACACAGAGAGAGAAAGAGAGAGAGAGAGAGAGAGAGAGATTTGTACTTACTCAAAAACCGCTCCACGAAATCATCCAGTTCATTCTTCCTTTCTAGTTCAGCTCCAGCTTCTAGAAGATTGAAAACTGCAGCCCCGAGTGACACGTAGAGCACAAACAGAACCAACAGCAAAACTAGCCGGTTCATTTTGATACCCTTTGCTTTCTTATCCTTACTTTGACTGTCTTTCTCCTTCTCCGGTTTCCTGCATTCGCCTTCAGTTGCATCCTCTTCCTCTTGATGTTTCGGCATGATAGTAGCTGAACTGTTACTTTTAGTAATAATGCTAATGTTGGTCCTTTTCTTGTCATGAACTTTCCTTGACACCTTTCGACCTTTAGGGTGAAAGGTGAAGGGTTTGCTAATCTGGAGGTCATCGTGTTGATGATTGGTTTTGTTCGTATGGAAACAATAGGAGCCGTTATTGATGAGCGCGATATCTGTGTACCTCGTGACTGAGGCGTCGATACCATAAACGGCATTCTCTTTTCCGTGGGCAGTCATCTGATGACGTCATGTGTGATACAACCAGGCGAAAGTTGACCAGATATGGTCACAGTTTGACCCTATAATACGTTAGGAGTTCTGATATAGCTGTTGCGTTTTTCAGTGTGAAGTGATTCTTTGCGAAGATTCCCCGTTGCAAATGAAGTCAGGAATGGAATTAGTCAAAGTGATTATGTAATAGCAGTCGTGTCCAATTTATTTGTAGTCCCAAGTGTTGATAAGTTATCATGATTTCAGCGTTTAATCTGTGATCTCACGTGTTATTTTATTTGTAGCAAATGCAGCTGTAGTGAAGGAGCATGTAATTACAACTGTAGTAAAAACTGCAATACCAAATCACAGTCTAATTTGTGATCCCAAATCTAGTTTAAATTATGATCCCAAATCGCATTATAACTTGTGATCCCAAATCACAGTCTAATTTGTGATCCCAAATCTAGTTTAACTTGTGATCAAAAACTGTCATCCCAACTCTTGTTTAATTTCTGATCCCAAGCGCAGTTTCATTTGGAATCCCAATGAGGGTTCAGTCTGTGACCCCAACCAGTTGAATTTGTGATCCCAGTCACAGTTGAATTTGTGATCCCAGTCACAGTTGATTTGTGATCCCAGTCACAGTTGAATTTGTTATCCCAGTCACAGTTGAATTTGTTATCCCAGTCACAGTTGATTTGTGATCCCAGTCACAGTTGAATTGTGATCCCAGTCACAGTTGATTTGTGATCCCAGTCACAGTTGAATTTGTGATCCCAGTCACAGTTGATTTGTGATCCCAGTCACAGTTGAATTTGTGATCCCAGTCACAGTTAATTTCTGATCCCAGTCCTGACTTAGATAAGGATCACACTCCGGTTGAACGTGTTAAAACAAATCTGAGTCAACTTTGTGATTTCCTCAGCTGTAATCAAACTTGTGATGTCATCATTAATCATACTTGCGATGTCATAAAAAGTCTAACTTGTGATCTTATGTTTGAACATAGATGTGATCTTATGTGAAATCTTTCCTGTGATCTCAGTGGTAATCAGAGATGTGATAATCTCAGCTGTACAGTTTTTTATCTGTGATCTTAGATGTAGTCTGTTTGTGATTTCATCTGAAACCAGGCTTGTATTATATGTCAAATCTCATCTAGACGTTCTGTACTCTCACTTGTAGGGTTTCGTCTACGTGTGTTCTCGTCTGTATTCAGTTTTATGTCAAATCTTTCTTCTGATTATGTCAAACTTTCCTTGGGATTGTCTCAAATCATTCTTGTGATTTAAGGTTACATCAGATTATGTCAGATCTGTCTTGCGACTATCTCAAAAATGTCATGTGATTATAACAAATCTGTTTTGTGATTAGGACAAATCTTTCTTGCGATTATGTCAAATCTCACTTGTTATTTTGTCAAAGCTTTCTCGTGATTATGAAAGCATACGTCTTGTGATAAGGTAAAGTCTATCGTGTGATTATAACAAATCTGTTTTGTGACTACAACACATATTTCGTGTGATCTTATATCAAGTCTGCCTTGTACTCAATCCCCTTTCCAATCGTAGCTGAGATAATCACAGCTGTAATGTATCAGTTTACGATCTCAGTTGTAATCGTGCGTATAATCTTATCTGTGATCTTTCATAGGAGCTCAGATCCACATCATCTGTTGTAATATCGGCATTAGTTTCACTTGTTGTGACTTCTGTCGTGATTTCTGTGATGATTTCTGTGGTGATTTATGTTCTGACCTCATCATAAGACGAGTGATTCCATCTCTACCCCAGCTGGAAACTTCATCTGCACTCCGCCATCTTGTTGTAAGTTCGTCAGTATCTGCCAGAATAGAATAACAAGTCAGCGTCGGTGTATTTTGTTACATAAATATTTTTTGAACAATACACATAAGTTTGATCGCAGGGGCACTGCGTGGGTTCGAGGTATGGTGTCCGCCCCGAGTGCTAGAGGTCCTGGGTCCAAGCCCCGGTGAGGGCTGGGCATTTTTTTCTGTTCACGTGGACTTCTAGTAATTTTCCCTTGTCTCTGGGTAGTGAAATCGGACGCCCGTGTGCATTGTTGCGCACGTAAAAAATAATTTGGCAGTTAAAAATAGAAAATAGTAGCCTAACGGCGCTGCCCTGGCAAAATTTAGAGTTAAACATCTACGAAAAGTATTTGAGGCTCCTCGCCGGTGATACAGAGCCTGTGCACTGTGCTTAGCTTCTCAGGACTTAGACGAGTTAGAAGAAAAACGGAGCGCTTATGGGTTACTACCCATGTGTCATGATGTTGATCCGGTGTTCAAATCTTCAAACCAACGGTCGTAGGCTCAAATCCTAACAGATACCGGACTTTTTTTTCTCTCTCTCTAAAAATGACAATGGTCGACCCAACCTTAAATGGGAACTAGGTAAAGTCCTGAGGAGTACAGGCGGCCGGCGTGTTGTTGGTCGTATCACCCATCGAGTACCAAATGGTCTATAAAATATAGATCCAGCACGGTCTGCCCAATACCCCGCAAGCCCTGGAGCAGAATCCTTTACTGGTTATGTTGTACTCAGAAATGTACTTTCTTCAGTACTGGTAACGGTGATATTACGAAAGTTAGTTACTTAAATAAAATTGGAAAAGATCAAGTAAATTCTGTGCCGTCTCCACAATGAAAGTTGACTAAAGTATGCTCACCGCTGCCGTCTCTATAAATGTTGCGCCCCCTCCCTCCCCATCTCTCTCATGGTGCGATTCTCTTACCGAAAACCACAAGATCGCATTATATTAAAAAAAATATCACGTCGTGCAAATAGAGCCCTAGTACTTGAGGATCACGAAAGTATGAAAAGCGTTCACTAATCTATAAGACACAGAGCCTCACAGCAGTGAAAGATCGAACACTGACTTAAGTACAAACCTGTACTCTGCGAAGACCTTAGCGCCCCCCGGGTTCTCTTTCTTGGAGTTTCACGTCTGCTGTGAGGAAACAACTTGGTACAATCTTCGTCTCATTAGCATTCTCTTTGTGTAAACTTGAGCGGAAAGTTTTGGTTATTTGTCCACTTCTGCTTGTTCACTTCTGGCTTATTTATATGCAAACTGTTGGTTTCCTTTTCTCTCACGAAGATGCACTCCGACCTCGTAAAAAACACCCATAATTAGTCGCACTTTGCGGCATGCTTGTTAAAAAGGCAGTATGTGTTTTCTCTCCCCCCCCCCCCCCCACCACCCTCTTCCGCAATGCTCGAAAATGGAGGCCAGAAACCCACAGGCGGAACTCTGTGCAACAATGTCGATCCTTTTAACGGTAATTTTAAACCACAACTTTTAACTTCCAACTCTGGCTAACAAACTACCACCCTGATTGTTTCCCAGACACCACAAAGCAATAGAAACATGCCCCGCACATTACAATCATGTAGACCACTGCTGCCAGTTTTTTTTCCAGAAACAGAACCAATTTAATTTTTACAGGTACCAAAACACACCGAAAGGTATCAAAGTTTTAATTTTTAATTAGCAAAACCGCAAAAACGTTTTTAAACAACACGTATATAACTGACTTATCTTGTTTTTGACCAAAAATGTCATTCTTTGTCTATTATATAATTTGTTACTTTTTTTTTTTTTTTTTTACTCAGTTTGTTACTTAGCTACTACCAATTGGTGCCATTATTCTCTTTGAGCAATGACTTTCAACTAACTCATAGAGGCTTTGTTTTTTCAAAAAAAAAAAAATTTTTTTTTTTTTTTTTGCTCATTCAAATCCTAATATTGTTGGGAAAATTTAAAAAACTAAAACGCACCAAAGCACTGGGTTTGATATCAAAAGTTGTTTTGCTTCAGCGAGTGTCAAACAGTACCATATTTGTTCGAAAGTACCAATTTCGACAGCCCTGGCCTAAACCTATTGTCTGCGATTTGAAGCATATAAAATTGTCATGTGACATTGCAGATGATGAATGCCTTCTGAATGTCCACGATTTTGTTTGATTGAAAGCTGTAAAGTGATTACATCGCGCCAAACGGCGTTGTGCGCATGTCACTCGGACACATAAATAACAAATGTGATGTGGGGATCATGTTCTGGAGAATATCTCAACCCGGAAACGATTAAATTATGGCTGTATTTGCATTACAATTTATTCTGTGAGGTCGTCGTGCATATAACAAATGTTTGGGTATGGGTAAGTATGAGTGTGTGTTTATCGTCTGTTTATCGGTCGGTTGGTTGGTTTGACATCATGTCTATTTATCTGTCTGTCTACGTAACTGATTGTCTTAGAAGCTGTGTGCCCAGTTTATTTTCTTCTTCTTCTCTTCCACCTTGTACCTCAGTCAAGTGTCGGGTTGAGATGTAACGTTCGTTGATGAGCTCTGTCAAGAGCACTATAAGGATTGATGTTCATTTCTGTAAGCCTGTCTCCCGCCCACCCGATCCAGGCCGTCCCAGGCACCACCTAATTGTCCTTCTCAGGAACTTCAGAATCCCCCCCCCACCCCCCCCCTCACCCAAAACAGCCAGTGCAGCAGAAATTTACCAACAAGGAATGCTCAGCGTACCAACACGCCACAACAAGAAATCCAACTGAAAACCGCGCACCAAAAAATGGACTCAATTATAAAGAAGGCCCTCAGATCATTTTGAAGAGTCCCAGTTTATATTTTTTTTTTTTCAATATCAAGTCAAGTCAGGACTGTAAGGCTGTTCTTAATGCCATCACTCCATATTTTCCGAGGTCTTCCGCTAGCTCTATACCCGTTGTAACGTTTCA